CAAGGATACCGTACGCTGCTGGAGGACTGGAGCAGCAAGTTGTAGAGCTGCCGCCACAGAATTATTCGGCCGCAAAAATCTTGAAAAAAGCACGCTTGCAGGGCCCTGTTTCAGGGTGCCAAAATCAGCCGAAAACCGGCTACGTTCGAAGGTACCTCCAGAGCAATCAAAAAGAGAATGATCTTGCAAAATTCTTGCGCTTGTTTGATGGTGTAAAACGACAGGCAATACAAATTCTTCATGAGCCGCCTAGCTTATACAACTCGCTTGGAATCAAACAAAAGCGCCCGCGTGTGGTCAGCAGACCGGAAGGAGATACTTTTTTAAGATCTAACCGCTTGTCTTGTCAACCACGCTTTGCAACTTGTGCTAAGCGCCTTTTCTTGCTAGAAATGGCCACACCATCCACACAATCTGCTTGCAATGCGTTGATTAGCTTGTCTGCCAGCATTCACTCGTGTGGGTATAAGTCCTAAGCCAGGTGCTTCACCATAGATTTCTTACTATCTGAAGAACCAAGACTTGCAGCACTAATAGAAGCTGCGCGGCGTACTTACAATTTGCTACCTTGTAAAAAATTCTTAAGGCTATTATCTAAAGGCTGGATCCGAGACATAATGACAAGAGAAAAAGATCCCTTGACGAAAAGTTGTTCAACCCTCTTAAGTGAAACGCTGAATTTTGTAAGGTTTTAGCCCGCCGCGCCAGATGTTTGAACTTTGTTACCTCGATCTCAAAATCTTACGGTAATGAAATTTACGATCGAAATATGAAATAGGAAGAACTTCGTTGGTGTTTAAAAAAGAATACAAAACCAGAAGATCATAGAGATCGGCTAGTAGCAGTTCCGCGGACTGCGGTAGCAATCACCTGGAACGCAGGGCTCCAGGCTACTCGATGGCTCTTATCCGCAAGCACCACCTTCTGAAGACAGAAGCCGGTTTGCTCTGCAATGAAGAACTTAGAAATTAAACTCCGCCACGGTGTACAAGAAACCACTTCACTCATTTGCAAGCTGAGATGTGTCTCTTTTCTGACCGGATGTGTTTCTTCTTATTGGTCAAATCGTTGCTTCTGTCGATGTTGAACGCGCGGTGGATCTTTATGATGGTCGAATCAGCGATTGTCGCGTTTTGAGCAAGGAACCATAACAAATCGCAACATATTGTTCAGTCTCTTAGTCAATTCGGATCGAAGGTTTTCATCAAAGGCCACAACTTTTTATAAAAGTTTCAAAGCTTCGGTTATCATTGATGTGGAATGTTCCTCATCAAGTCCGTTATGTAGACGATTCAGATGATAAGATTGTCAACGAGTTCTCAGGAAGACGGGTTTGTATCCGCTGCTGTTCATGCGCCAAATCTGCATTTTTTCGCGTAGGTGTTGGGCAACAACAAGTTACCTGTCAGTGCATTCAGTTAACTCTATCTAGCTATGGAGAGAGGACATCCGTACACTTCTCTTGATAGTGTTGATGTGAGGCTACGCCGTGCCGAACAGTTACTCACGCAACACCGCCAACTCCGTGGCGTTGAAGTGATGCAGCTTAATATCCAGAACAGCTCCACGAGTGCCGCGCGCCTCAACAATGTGCGAAATCAGGCCAATTTTTCTTGCAGCACGTGTTCCTAATCTAGAAGCTGCCTTGGAAATCATAGCTCCTTTTGGCTTTTATCTGAACGAAAATCTTACCGACGTTCGTGCCCGCCTTGTTGCCCTTGAGAATCGGACATGGCACCAATGGCAGATGCCGAACTTCCCTCTGATGATGTGCGGAACTGTGGCCGCCTGCTGTTAACCACTGCAAGTACTTGCTTCCTCATGGCGGCGCCGCGCGCGAAGGTGGATCATGCGTGACGCCTCTGCGAGTGTCTAAAATGTTTGCAGTGATGCCCAGGTCCTTGAGATTTGCAATTGTTTGTACTCCTTCTCGCTTCTGGCTGCTCCTTCTCATGATCACTGTCGTGGCGCCTCTGAAGCCGGCATGTCTTCTCAGATATCCCTCTTTAACACTAGATGCTGGTCTCCGCTGCCTGGATTCCATGTTGGTGTCAGCAATGAACCTAGGCGAGGTGGAGCTGACACGCCTCTTGCCGTGTCAAATGCTCTCGAAGAGCGTCTATGTCTTGAGCGTGTGCTTGCTTGAGCGTCTATGTGAGCGTGTGCTTGCTTGGGCTGATGTGCGAGTTGAATGGTTGGTACACTGGATCAATGTGTGACGAATCTGGATATCTTTCTAGCCTTGTTGGCCATGATTTGGCCATGATGAGCAGTGTGCGGAATTGGTCCAGTTGAATATGCCGTCTGAGAGAAGCAGGATGATTAATCATTCCGTAGTGTCAGCATGGGGACATTCCTTCTTCTTGAGCTGAGTTCTCTGGCATTGGCTACCGGCCTTGACTCGCGTGTTAGTCGTACATGTTGCATTCAGTGTCCATGTGTCTGACAGGGGACTAGTCCGACTGCATTTGCCCCCGTGACAAATCTGTGCATGTATTGCTGGAACTGTCATTGGAATAGCTAGTTGCACTTGTTTGAAGGTACATGAGCGCATTTCATGACTTTGTTTCATCTGAATACCAGATGTGATGTAGCTTAACTTGAGCGGTGCGACAGTGCGCTTGCGAAAAAAATCTCTGGCGGACATACAATTGTCCTTCGTGTCCCTTGTGATTTCTTGAGGAAAAGGGACGTCTTCAAACTGTTGCAAGTTGGTTCAGCTTTCTGAAAATTACGTGATGGAAGCTTGCAAGTGGTCTTGATCTTCTTGCCCATGAAACGGTTCATATTTAGATTGCCGCCCTGTCACTGACAGAGTGTTTGTGTCCGCTGCTGTACATGCGTTAAACCTGCAAGAGAGTGATTGCATTTTCAGCTTTTCGCTTTTGATTTTTCTTGACAACAGTTGTGAAAGATGCAGGGGACCGTGGCCCACTCAAGAGACCACTGCCAACGAAGTTGCTCTTGAGTTGGCAGGATATCCAGGCTACCTGCAACAGGTCAGGCCCCTGAGCTGACCAGATTAGAAAAAGCCAGGCCTTTGAGGTGGCAGATTAGAGCATTGTTGTGTTCCGCAAAGCGACACACAAGCCATGGTTTTCTGTGTTTGAACACACATGTCCTGGCAGTCTTGAATCTTACCATCAGTGCATGTGTGAGTTTGATATGTCAGTTGTTGATGTGCACAGGCGTACCATGAGAAGATGACATTCCCACCAGTGGTGTTGCTGACACAGTTTGAAGTTGTTGGTTCGGGAAACATACCGTTGAGCCAGCAATGCACAACTTCAGAGATTTTCAATTTGGCGCTACAGTCACATGAGTGGAAATCATCAATTTGGCTCCACCCAAAGTACATCACATTGGGTCTCGCCTGCACCGCCCTGATTGTTATCTTCAGAGTTGTGCATAAGCATAGGGAATTCGCAGTTTAACAACGGATTCAGTTCAACGTGTGCCCTGAGTACACTGATCCTTTATGGTGGCATGTGTGTTGATGTGGAACTAGCTGGAGCAGGTGTGCTTGTTGGGGCAGTGTGCACAGGACCACAGCATTTTGAAGACACGCCATCGTTTTGCAATCTCATGGTCATTCGAACTTCAACAAGCCCATTTGCGCGCCATGGTGGTATCCAAAGCTTACGCAGCTGTGGCACTGGCCGTGGGAATCCTTGGGTATTTCGCATGCACGACAAACGAAGGCGAAGGGTTGAAGCTAAAGAGTTGCTGATGCAAACCGTTTTCGACCAGTGTCTCGCAAACGTGCGTGTCGGGCTGTTCAATGAGCTGGGATAGATGGGCGTGCGTGGCATTTCTTTGTCCATGCGCGCACGGGTTTTGTAACGCAAGCTGTTGATGTGCGATCTTTTTGGATAGCTTTGTGCCGTGTCAATGCCCATGCGTCTCATCCTTTATCTGGACATCCCTTAGCCCTTAGTTTGCTTAACACACACACACACACGAACATTGCTGTAGCTTGGAGGTTCTGCAGCATGCGCACTTCGTTTTGCAGCTGTGAATGTGTTTGCCTGGTGTTTGAATGTTGCATAGGTTTCGCCAGTTGCATGGGGAAAAGCACAGTCAGATTTTGCAAGCAAGCGTTCTAGTCAGCTTTCAACCATAGTTTGGAGATTTGCAGATATTGATTGAACAGGCTCATTTTGTGGAATCGGCATTTGTGTTTGCATTGTTGCTTTGTTCTGGCAGACCCTGGCTATCGCAGCTTGTCTGTCGCCATTGCTCTTCGGCACAAGGGAACAGGATTGTCAATGTCAATCAGATTTTCGAGACAGAGGCATTTTTTGAGGTTTTCCTTCCGGCCGTGGTTGATCAATTGTGCGAGGTTTGTGTGGTGACCCATGCCTGATCGATTTTTGCCTCTACCATTTTGGGTTTCGAATATGCATCAAAACATGTGTTGAAGAAAGGATTCGGGAGACCCGAAGTCCAACGTTGTTCTGCTTTTCCTGCACGGCTGGCCCGACAACGCCAAGGCTCAAATGACGTAGGTTTTGTAAAGTCAGATATGCATTCAACATGCCCAAGATCAGGAACGGCATCATGGCTAAAAATGTATTGTCGCAAATATACATTTACCATGCAAAAAGCAGTTTTCCATCTGCATGCTTTAAAAGTCTGACATGTGTTTGCCGGAACGTGAAGTCCTTTTGGCCCTTTGCACAAGTGTTTGCAGGTGTGGCACAGGCAGATATCCGCCTTCGTGGGATGGGGGTATCACTGTGTGGCTGCGGAGCTGCCCATGTGTGGGGAGCACGGAGAGAAGCCTCGGGGTTGCATCTCAGCCCTGTTTGTGTTGTCCACATGTCTACATGCAACCTTGCACTTCCTGCCTTCAAAATTGTGCTGTCTTTTGGCTGTCCTGTCCCCACTCCCGAGGGCAGCCTGGGGCTACGACTTCAACATTGTAGCAACCTGGTCCTCAAGTTTGTGCGCCTATGAAGATTTGAAATGTCAGAGCAAACAGCCGCTGAGGCCAAACAATTGGCAAATCTGGCGCAGCAATTACGCACCAGCGAAGGCACAAAGTCTAGAGCAGTGATTGTCAGGCAAGCTTTGCCATGTATTACTTTCAGGCCGATCAGTTTCGGAGATGCCGAGCACATTTGCAAACAGGAAAGGCTTCGGCTTTCGGACCTTTGGTTTGTTGGGACTCATGGCTTGTGGCAACGCCAAAGTTGTTAACACGACGCCATGCATGAATTGACCTGGAGAAAGATTCAGCATGTCAAATGTGGATGGCTCTGGGCAGAAGGCGCATGAACTAGGCAAGATCTGCATTGGAAGCTCTGCGAGCACTAAATGTCAGACAGTTGCTACAGTACAACAGTACAAAGCGTGGCAGGAAGAGAGGCGTGTAAGAACACAAAGCCAGGCACTCCCATTTACAAATGAAAACTTCAGTGCCCTCTCAGACAGACTGACCACACCTCTCGAGCACATTTCGAATCAGGCTTGTGGTTCTGCATTTTTGGCCGGTAGATTTCTTTGGTAGTTGCCGAGCAGATTGAAAGTTCAAATTATTTGGTTTTCCTTGAAGGTGGCAATCGCTCGTTGGTCCTCATTGGCCACGACTGGGGTGCCTGGCTCACGCTACTGAACAGCATGGGCCGTATTGAGTTGAGGCATCGGCATGCTGCTCTGGGTTGTGAGGGCTCAGCGTTTCAAGCAAGGCTCTGGTTGGGTGGCTCGAGAGAATTGTACAAAGAACAGGCAGTGGAAGCGTTCAGCTGAGGTACATGGCACAGAGGGCAGCGCCGCACCTTTTTGATGCTATCATTCCCCTGGACATTGCTCCGGGCTACGGGCAGTTGCCATTTTCGGTGCCCAACTTGCAGCAAACTTTATCAACTGCATTGGCGTGTTTACAGTAGTTTTTTCTTGGTAACTGGGATTGTGGACGATGCGAACCCCCCCCGCCCACACAGTGATCCCTTCGGGACATAAGGCTTTTGGTTTCCGATGTTCCTGCTCACAACAGTTGTTAGTCACACAGGACTTCAAAATGAAGGCATCTTGCGTTTGGATTAGGTTAGCTCTTGCTTATGTGTAGTTATGCCCGTCGTTCCCTCCAATGAGACCAGGCCTGGAAGGCCAGTTATGAAACCATGCTGAACCTCGAACTCTAAACGTTCGTTTTCAATCGAAGCTCTCTAGGTGCAGTGGCGAATAGTTGCCTACCAGCACGCGGCCTTGTCCTGCTTCGCACTATCAAAGCTGCCATTCCTTTCGGCCGCTGTGTCTTCCAAAAGCAGCATGTTGCATGATTAGCCACATGACCAGGCTGGGTTTTGGCTTTTTTTTATTGAAAGCATTGCAGGCACCGAATTAAAGTAAGTTGGGTGGCTTTGGAAATCACGCTCTGAAGGGGTCTGACATTGGAGTTGCCGCTACGCCTCGAATCAACTGCAAAAGGATGTGAAGCCGAGGGAGTCTTTGCAGAGGTAATTTCAAGGTGGTTTTGATTCAAGGCAATACCACTGGGCCAGCACAGAATTGCAAGGCCGTTTTCTCCGTGCCTGCGATAGTCTAAGCAAAGCCTCGTAACCTTGCTGAAAACAGAGCTGGAAGATACACATCTCATTATCACATGCAGTCTGCCTCGTTCATGTACTCATGCTCCCAACCCGATGTTAGACTTTGCATGTGACAAGGTTTTTTTTTCCGTAGCCGTCAAGTTCCTGTTCCACAAAGGATGTAGCAGATCATCTGTTGCGGTATTTCGTAAAGACGCTCGGCACCGAATTCCTTGGGGTTCTACTGATTCAGCCTGGAAGCCGGAGAAGTTTCTCAAAGACGTGAGATCAATAGCGTTGGCTAGCAGCCCTTAGATGAGATGATGAAATTTGGGGTACATGTTGCTGGGGGGAAAATGGGAGAAGCCCAGGTTTTCCTTGCCAGAGTTAACTGGCTACGGCGAGGCATGTTTGGCCAATCCATGTCTATGCAGACTTCGTTGCAGTAATTGGTTTGGCTTTGAGTCACCGGTTCACAATCAACTTGGGAGCGCCTTGTGCAGAGGTCCGTGGTTTATGGACTTGACAGGAAAAGCGAATCAAGTCATTCATGTAATGTCCCGAAGCAGCGGTCGCACACGAGCAGTTCGAAAGTGATCGGGGATGTTTGGGATCCAATGTTTTTTGACACGCCTTGAGTTCCTCGTGATCCTTCCTGTTGGTTGTCAAGCATGTTCAAGCATGAAGACACACCAAAGCCAAGACTTCTTGTGCATTTCGCAAGCTCTACCGAAGCCCCAACTGGTGAGGCTGGCGAGGGGCTGTCCCCGACCCCCTGGGAAGAGATGAACGCTGCCATGGGATGGCCGCCTCCTGACCGACATCATGCGACATCCTTGGAGGGTGCAACAGGAGTGCTTTTGGCTGGGTAGGGCAAGTGCTTTCTCTTCTTATCTGCCAGAATTGAAGCTGTTGAGGTATTGGCAGACTTGGAAGCCTCCTCGGATGTTCCTGTGGGCTCTCTGGCAGCGGCTGAGCTTGCAGTCAAAACTTGATCTCGTCCACGATTTTTGGCCAGGGCTTTGGAGGTAAAGAATGTACAGCACAGCTGCGGCTAGGATTGGGAGTTAGGACGCATGTAAAGCCAGAACTGCGGAGTATTGGCGTGAAAGGGAGCTACCAGGAGTCTAGGGCATGTTAGTCGGAGGTGCAAACGGCGTGGAGAAGCTGAGGACACAAGGACTCCAAGGTTGGGGCCAAAGCTCGGAGCAGGATGCACCTTGCCTGAAACATAAGTTCGTGATCTAGGACGACCTAGGCAATCTTAAATGAGAATCTTTCCGGTAAGTTCCTGCCTTTTGGATACTCGACACTCGACACTCCACCTACCGCACATGAACCAGGTCGAGAAAATAAGACCATCCACGTGAGTGACTCCAACACTGCCTGCAACTTTGCGTGCACAGCCCGCAATAGAAAAGTGGGCAGTGGCCCAGGAGAAAGGTCTAACCAACACCAAGAACTTCACAGCATTCCGATCTACAGAGCACACTATCGCGAAGTCCCAAAGATTAGAGCTGAGGCAAAGTTGGAGGGCCAGCTGCCTAGCTGCCCAACGCTCCTTCTCTACGGGGTGTCTTGTCTGCAGGCTGGTGTGCAGAGGTCAATGATGCTTTCAAAAGTAGGGAAGTGAATTGGGTTGAATTCATGTCCGCCAAAAGAGACCTTCGAAAGATTGCTCAGAATTGGGAGCTTGTTGCAACATGACTACAAGCCTGTGCTTGTCGGCGCGCAAGCTTTCAAAGCCCTCAGGATGCGCCGTCGCACCTGAAGCTTGCAGGACGGCACTTCGTTGAGGCTCCTTGGTTGAATGTTGTTGTGCACGTGCAGGCATTCCGACATTCCAGTTATGGTGTCATTCTGATGGTCTTCACCCGTCAAAAGAGAAGCCAGGCCAACTTGATCAAGCCTTGTCCCTTGAGGCTTTGAGGGTCAAGGGTGCCCCGCTGCAGAGCCTTGGCAAAGTACAAGGAATGTCTGGCATGCGGTTCATGCATTTGGAAGGGTTCGAATCCAAGAAATGCTAGACTGTCAGTTGTCTTCATTGAAGGCCTCCCTCTCCACTGTACGTATTTGACTGTGCTGGGCTGGAGATCTGTGGGCAGCTTTGAAGGTATTCGAAAGCCTTTGACTCGCACCACTGGTTTTTCTACTGGCACGCGGTTGCTGTCAATGATGAGATTCACCGCTTCCTGGTGAGTGCTGGTCTGCAGCCTCTGAAGCAGTGACCCTGTGGCTGAGAATTCATGCGTTCAGGGAGCTGCCACGACGATTTTGCGTGTTGGATTGACTCCAGAATGTGAAGTACTGAGAGCCCGGAGCTCGGAGCAAAGGTCTCCGAGGCTTGAACTCGTGTTTGTGACACAGAACCTTGGCCTCACATCGCTGGGCCAAGAGGGATTAGATGTGGATTCGCATGGAGCGTTGGCAGCCGCGTGAAACTAGGGCTCTTGTCTCTGCCTGAATGCAAGCACGTGAAGGCACGTGAAAGCCGCGGTTTGAAAAAGCTTCGGCGTGGCCTCAAGAATTGGGCTGTCGAGCATCGCCATTAATCATTAGCAGGATTTGGGATTGAATCTTGCGGTAGCCAGGTGGCAGTGGTGCTGGTGTTGGAGCACGGGGGCGGGGTGATTGGCTGAAGGCTGAGGCGAATGTTCTGCATGCAGTAAGTCAAGTTCGAAAACAATCAGGCATTGAACCAGGGTATCCTGGAAGGTTGATACTCATCCAGTTCTGATTGATTTACGTTCCTGGTGATGCTGCTTCCAACACATCATCCCGCTGAACACATCACTTTCCTGATGTGAAGTTCAGATTTGTGAGTCGCTCGCTAAATGAGAGAATATCTTGAGGGCTTTTGCTGCGATAAACTCTTGTGCTTCCAATTTGGATTAGCGGGACTCGGAGTGCAGGTATGCATTGCCCAAAGTGGCCTTCAGGTGTTGGCTTGTTTGAATTCATTGTGAAGAAATCCAATGACAGCCCTGCATTCAGCGCAAGGCATGGTCAACAGAGTGCTACTGGATGTTGTGAGCCAGAAACTTTGAGGTCCCTTCACGAAGCTTGCACCTACCGTTGCTTCAAGAATTGCAGAACCGCTTCTTTAATTTCGAGTGTAACAGCACTGCCGGATTTGCGATTTAATTTCCATGCCTAGAAGCACGCTCGCATCAGACGGCCTCGGCCGGGAGAAAGTGTGGCGCATGAGGGAGTCAGTGGCTTCGATTCGAGAAGACAGCTGTCAGGATGCACACTTTGTCCATTAAATCCCTGGAGACAGGAAGTCTCAGTTGGCCTGGCATTTCACAGCAAGCTGGGTATGTCCAACTTGAGCAAGTTTTTCCTGGTGTCGGGCTGCTATGAGCGCATGTTGATGTGAACTTGCTCTTTGGCTCTGTCATCCGTAGAATTTTTAACCCCGCTGCAAAGACCAAGCTTGGAAAGTCGCAAGCAGTAGCATGGTGACTTACTGGGTCTTGTTCCAGACCTTGCAGCTGCAAAGCAGACAGCCCCAGGCTGAAAGGAACAGAATCGACACTGTACATTGATCATCCCTGCATGCCAGCTATGTAGGCAACATGGACCCTGGATGACGCAGGAGCGAGCGCGTTCTGAGTAGTTGCGCTATTTGCGCCAGAGAGGTTGGTCGGTTGCTTTCTTGCTTTTATGCATTATCATCCCCTGCTTGTGATCCTCCTGTTGCCGGGCTCCCACGGCTGTGGTTGTCATGGTTGTTGGTGCAATCGTTCATGCTGCTACTGTTTCTGCAGCTTTTTTGGTTGCAGTTGTGGTTCAAATTTGCTGTTCTTCGTCTGCTCCTGGGACGGTTGAGCTGGACGGGCATGATCCTTCATCTCATAATGCGAGACACCATGTTATGACGCAGCGCCCGTGCACTCATATTATGAATCGTCACGTCAAGTGGTCTGGCACTCCATTTGAACAACATCAACATTCCGTCTTCGTCCATGTCATCATCATTTTCCGGTCGATGCCTGACATGTTGAAGTGTTCATGTATTCATCTACAGGTGTGTGTATGGGAAGCCATGTGCTGCAAGTCATGTCACAAACAGTTTTGCAAGGCAGGAATCGTTGCTATTGTCTTTTTGAAAACTCGTGCTGGTTGTTGTGGTAGGTGCTGTATTTACGCAAGCTTTGCTGATCTGTACTAAGGGGGTGTGGGGGTTAGGAAAGCCGTGCTTCGTGGGCCCGACCCCACCGCAGGAGGGTTTTCGGGAGGCCTCCCCCCGCAGGCCTCGAAAATAGGCATGATGAGGGGTCTGTTTGGGTGTGGTTTTGGGGTGCGGTTTCGGGTGCCGTGGAGGCCGTTTGGGACGGCAGATGGCAGTTTTTTAGGCACGTTGGGAGCCGTTCTTGGGAATGCGGAGGCCGTTCGCGCTCCGCCTCTTCATGAAAAAATGCACGTGCCAGTATGCACCCTGCTTCTAAGCTTTTTATGGGTGATCTGTTGTCGAAGCTTTACAAGTTGTGTGTTGACGCCTTGGTGCTTTCTGTGCTAACAGGGGTCGTGGTGTCACAGGCGCGGATGCGTTGCTGCAGACGATGGCGGCAGCGCGCACCATCCGTCTGCTACAGAGCTACCCTTGTGTACGGTACACTATTCAGTGATGAGACATGATGCGTGCTCAGGTGGCCATTGCGGAAGCAGCAATCGATACTCTGGTTGGTGAGCAGCCTGTGCCTTAGATCGATTGCATTTCTAGCGCCTTCCTTCTGGCACTCGCATGGCCCAGCAGGCCAGATGCAATTGCATTGCACAGCACGATGGTAGAGGCATGACCAGCTTGTGCCCTGCTCATGTTTGGAGCTCTTCGGGGCAGGTCTTGGCCACTCTAGATGCTGTGCGGCAAGAGCTTGAAGGGGTGCGTGGTCAGCGCAGCGAGATGCATCAGGCTCCAGACATGTGAACATTCCAGCCTACAGTCTATAGGATCTGTTGTCATGCAGCTTGATTCCTGGACCGCTTAGCCGCATCAAGCCCTTGGTGACAAAGTCGCGGCCGCGTGTCGCTTAATTTTTTCACCTGCTTTCCTGAATCAGTGACAGAGACACAGCTTCTTCCAACCTCATCGTCATCGTGTTGGCTTGCCGGCAAAACGAAAGATTTGGAACGCTCTGGGGAGGAGCCCCCAGGCATCGCTGACCTGAAGTTGCGAGCCGCAGGATCCCGTCTGGGTGGGGGACTGGTCGAGCAGCCAAGCAGCAGGGTTTGGTTGGGATCGCCGCTGGGGCAGAAGGCCAGGTCAAGAAGCGTGCTGAGCACGACAGCCTCCTGTAGACCGCATCGCCCAGCTCGGCGACAAGGTGGCCTGGCTGCTGCTGCATTTCCGCGCGGCGACCCGGGCAAACTACCTCCTCTGTGCAGTTGCGGATTGTGCCCGGGAGATGCGGAAATTCATGGGCGTTGCGTGGATATTTGCTTGCTGGCGTTCGTCGGCATGTGGATGGTCCCGGGTGTCTCCGTGGTTGATACGGTGGTCATGCCATCCTTGATGCACAGCCTCGGTCGCCTGCCAGCGACCCATATGGCCCATGAAGCCAGCATGGAGTATGCTCCCAGCAGCCGTGATAAGGAGCTTCCTTGACTCCTCCATGGCTTCTTCCAATTCGAGATATTGAGCCGTCGGCGGGAAGCGCACATTCATTGCGGGTATGCACAATCTTTGCCTCCCCTTGGTTTCAATGTAATGTTCGAGATCCAAAGCATGGTAAGAGTTCTGCTTGCCATAGCCGAGCACCACACCGAGCCCTCCGCGTGAGCTATCTTGTCGGGATCCTCGGACAAGTATTAGCATGCCGACCCAAAGGGTCGAAGCTTGCTCAAATCAAAAGAGCGATTGAACCGGAGCTCATATGGAAATGGCATGTCCCAAGTTCCAAGCCGTGCGCGTAGACGAAACAGAAAGCCATGCGACAGAACGCCCAAAAGGCATAAGGCCACGAACAAACAAGCCATACCCTCTGCAAAGCGCTCGGCCTGCGAATTGGTGTGTGGCCGAGGCGGCAACGAATGCTCATGACGAATCTTTTGCGATCGGAGCTTTGCAGCGAACTCTCCCTGAAACTCGACGCCATTGTCCGTGCGAACTGCTGTCACTGACTGGTTCCCGTTCAGGGCCTCAAAGGCTACAACCATCTTAGACGCCTGCATAGCGCGAAGGGCATGTGCTGCAGGTCTTCTTGTGGCATCGTCGTGCGTGATCACGACATGAATGGCATAAACTGTATCATTGATGCTTTGTCGCGTGGGGCCAACTAGATAACAGCGGATGCGTTCCCCAAGTGGCAAAGCAAATGCTTTCGCATCATCAGCCATTGGCTCGCGACGCAAACATCGATGGCCCGCTCTCGTCATGGCGATGCGCCACGCCGCGCCAGTGGACCAGCGCGCCCTCGCTCGATTAACTAAAGTTGTAGGTGCACCACCAAAAACGGGCCCTGTTCGGAGGGCAGTCGCTCTCCGCCCTGCTCATTTTACTCCAGGTCTATTTCTGATATTGTTGTGAGTATGGGGTGTGGTCAAGA